TTTAATCACATAGTTTTTAATCTGCATCTCACACTGTGTACTCTGTTATATACTTCACATTTAGCAATTAACATGCTGTAGTATGCCACTGTATTCATCTCTGAATAAGACGCTTAGCAGAGTTTCCAGAGATCCATTCAAGGGTTTCATCATTTCTCAGTGGGGGTTTCAGTCACTTCCTGTTCTGATCTTTCTTCTGTCTCGCCGTTTCCACAGGGAGGAACATGAATCAGACGTTTCGCTGCCTGTCAGACTCGGCCAAGTGCATTTTTAATTTTAATAAATTTTTAATAAATAAATTCCAATTTTAATCAAATTTTGTGTAAAAATGTTAAGAATTGTGACTGATATGCACATAATTTGTCTCAGTTGAGTGCATTGCCTTGTGGGATATCACACCTAAAATTGAATGAATGAGTGAATAGATAAATAAATAATTAAATAATTAACGCTTCAGTCATGTAAGATCCGTATCAAACAGTGAGGTCGACTGAGGCTTGATATGAGGTCAGAGGTCAATAATGGCACCCGTTTCTCTGTCTCCCAGCACTGAACTCGGCCCGAACAGAGCTGCAGGAACTACGGTGTAAATACGACAAAGAAATGGCGGAAAAGTAAGACACTTGTTTACTGTGTCCATATAATGCTGATGTGTATCATGTTTTTTTATTCTCTGATGTTCATTTCCTGTTTCTGTGATTTCATCTCAAGCTACATGTTTGATTTGTCATTGCAAGCAACACAACGGAAACAGAGCATCTCTCTTCCCTTCTGTTGCTGTTGTGACTTCACACAAAACCTGCATTTCCATTCAAGTCTCATCCGCAACTGAACCTCTCTGATCCTAGTTAAGGGTTTAAAGTTAGTTTTCTAACTGATCTGAGCTTGAACACACTACTTTTTTCATGCATAACCAGCTGACAAGTGTCCAAAATCCCTCTAAAACCCCCAAAACAGACTAGTCTGTTCCTGTAGCTGTTTTTTTTCTTCAGCAGGATTGAATTGGGTTTCTACAGTTTATAATTAATAATTTATAATTGTATTGTTTACAAATTGTAATAATTTTATAATAAACATTAAGAATAATTTATATTAAATTAAATTGTAATTGTTTTTAATTTATAATTTTACCATCTCATCATAAGCATGTTTAATTCAGTGAGATGTGTTCAGATGGCATGTCAGCAATTATTATTTTTCTGTTGATTTTCTATATTATTTCTGAATAATATTTAAAATGAAAAAAATTTAAATGTGAAAATAAATCAAAACATATATATATATATATATGTATATACACACACACACACACTTAAAATATAAATATAATATACTTAAAATATAAAAAATATATAAAATCTTATTTATAATATATTATTTATTTATTTATTATTTATTTTTTCCATTTTAGTGCAACTCATTTTGTGGCCACATGCATGCACCTCTATGACAATTAAAAAAAAAAAATCTATTCAGATTTGGTCTTAACATTTCAATCTAATTTTGTGTGAACATTTTAACTGCAGATTTTTTGCCACAGTCGAGTGCATTGCATTCTGGGATACGGCATCTCACACAAGTGTACAGTGTCACACAGTTATATTAACATTTATGTTTTTAGCTGATGATTTTAGCCAAGGCTACTTACAAAACAGGAACTTTCAGTCAAAGAACCAACAATATTCATACAATCATACCAGGTTTAATAGACTAGAAACTAGATGAGGAAGCAAGCTAGAGAAAAGAAGAAATGCTCCCATTTTTACATACTGCAGAAGTTGGTATGAGTAGTATGCTACTGTATTCCAATGTCAAATAAGATGTTTACCTGGTCTTAAAGTTTGACATTATCTGCTGTCAGTTCAAGTCACAAGGTTTAATTTACAGGCCATTTTCGGTCAACTAAAACTCATGCAGCCCTCTCTGTGTTTAACCCATCCACTGAAAGGCCTTAAATAGATTTGTCCCAATCGACTATGCTCCTAGATTACACCTCAAATAAATCTGGTCCAGTTCTGATAGATAGATAGATAGATAGATAGATAGATAGATAGACAGACAGACAGACAGACAGAAAGAAAGGAAGACAGACAGACAGACAGACAGACAGACAGACAGACAGACAGACAGACAGACAGACAGACAGACAGACAGACAGACAGACAGACAGACAGACAGACAGACAGACAGACAGACAGACAGACAGACAGACAGACAGACAGACAGACAGACAGACAGACAGACAGACAGACAGACAGACAGACAGACAGACAGACAGACAGACAGACAGACAGACAGACAGACAGACAGACAGACAGACAGACAGACAGACAGACAGACAGACAGACAGACAGACAGACAGACAGACAGACAGACAGACAGACAGACAGACAGACAGACAGACAGACAGACAGACAGACAGACAGACAGACAGACAGACAGACAGACAGACAGACAGACAGACAGACAGACAGACAGACAGACAGACAGACAGACAGACAGACAGACAGACAGATAGACAGATAGATAGATAGATAGACAGACAGACAGACAG